ATCTCTGCAAGGAGCAGGTGCTGTGTCTTTTTTCCAGTTTCCTGTTTGCTAAAGAGCTTTATACTTCTGCTGTTTTCTTGTTGCTGCCCATACCGTCAGACCCTTCTTCAATTGCTGCCCGCCCTGATCTTCTGCCTGGACCCAACTCTGCTCTTGTATCCTGCGTTTATCCTCTGATTACTCGTTGCTGACCTGGGACCATCTGACCACCCTCTGCTAGCTGCCTGCCTTGAACTCTGCCTGGATCTGACTACTGTCTCCTCATTGGAGCCCTCCTGTTCTCGTCCATCCCTTGGCAGAGCAACCCTGGGGATCGCAACCTGGTACCAGCAAGCAACAAAGCCCATCTCCACCATCAGGAGCTCTGGTGAACACTGGCTGGTACTTAGACTCCGCCCCTCAGGTAAGCCCATGTCACCTGCCAGGGGGTGTCACCCTAACAGTTCCCAATTGCAGTGGCTATTGAACTCTAGGGTACAGAATTGCAAAACAAACGCGTAGTCTTTTGCACTGATAACATGAGTGTGGTACAAGTAATAAATCGTGTCGTGTAGTGCCCTCGCTTAGGCACCCGAGGCCTCATGCTGTGGCTTCCCCTGGTTCACTCCCAGGTACATCTCTCTCGGTGTACCAAGGCCTTGTCCGAGGTTTAGTGCCCTCACGCAGGCATCCAATGCCTCACGCTGTGTCCTCCCCATCTCATGTCCAGGTACCCAGGCCTTGTGCAAGGTGTAGTGCCCTCGCCCCCTGGCGCGCACGAGCGGGAACCCGGCAGGATTTTAAACGGCCAGCGATGGCCGTTTACATACAAGCGGTCCGGCGTCTGTAAAGATACCCGATCGCTTGTATGATTCAAGTGTGGGTGAGCCCCCACCATTCCTCTGGTCGCCATCGCTGTACCCGCCGCCACCGTCCCCACGATCCCGGGCGTCCATCCGTCCCGGGCGATGTGGCTCTGTTCACTGAGAACGGAGGGAGATCAGTCCGCGATCTCCCTCCTCCCGGTCTCTGAATGCAGGAAGTGATGTATATTACATCACTTCCGCATTCCTCTGTCACTCTCCGCTACAGATACCGGAGAAAAGCTGATAAAGCAGATCTGTGCTTCATCAGCTTCTCTGGGGGTCCCTAGGTGACAGGGGTCTTAGAGACCCCTAATGTCTCCATAAAGGGGACCTGTAACTGTAATTTGTTATCACATAGCTTAAAGGGGTTCTAAACCCTCCGTTTTTTTTGCCTATATCTACTGCTAGCAAGCAGTAGATATAGGCAAGAAGTTTAAAAAGAAAAAAAAAATGCTTTAACTAGGTTAAAACTTACCTCGTTATAGCTGCGCGCTCCCGCGCCGAGAATCAGGAACTGCACGTACGGCCGCAAAGGATCTTGGGGCAGGCGCATGCGTAGTTCTGATTCTCGGCCGGGAGACGAGCAGAGACGCAAGGTAAGTATATTGAAGCGTGCACCCGCATGCAGACACCGCTGGCTCGGAGTGACAGAGCAGTCAGCGCTGGATCGGAGAGCCGCCAGGAAAGAAGAAGATCGGAATAAGAGACATCATTTAAGGTAAGTGCTAACATTAACATGGGCATAATTTA